CACAGTCCTTGGCAATTACAGTTACAGCCACTCTCAAAGACGACATACTGTTGAAATAGAGACTGTTTTAACTGTGTACTTAATTTCTTCTCTGTAGCATAAAAACAAGAAAAAATATTCAAACACCTATTGAACTCGTGGTATAGTGTAAAGTTGAATATTTCTCTCCCTGACTAATGTTGACTTGACTGTAGTAAGACCAGACATTAGATTTGATTATAGCTGCATGTAAAGTTGGGTTTTCTACCATACTGATTTGTAACTAGCTTGACAGGGCTATTTGAGAGCTGTAGTCTATAGAATCACACACTGGCAAACAACAGTTATCTCCAGAGAGATTAACCTTGCAAGAAAGTTATGCAGGTGATTTAAATCCAGTTAATCTCATGGAAAAAAAAAGTTAATTGCTTTGACAAAGAAGTTTCCTCTGATCAAGGCATAGTTATATAATTAGGGATCGGCTGACTTGGGGGACTGGAATCTAATTGATAAGCCGTCCACAGATGGCCCTAGAGGTTTGTGCCTCTGCCTTTTCAATAAGTGGTCAGACATAAGGGGATACCATGGGAAAAAAATCAGTAGCCTCATTTCGACGTGTCTTAAAATTAAGTTGGCTTGTTCAGTGGATCAAGATTTCCACACTTGTTTATTTCAATTGTCCAGAGCTTCCTGGGTATAATCTCTGTGGACATTAGTGGATATTGGATGTGATTTTTGTCTCTCAGTAGATTCTCTAGATTGTTCTATTATCAACTTACTCTCACTCCCCTGACTTTCCTTTTTATTTTTTTCTATGATTTTAGTACAAAAAGAGAAACCTTAGACACTTATATTTAGCTTTGTAGTTTGTATCTAAAGGGGGGTTACTTTGATAACAGTAGCAAAAACCAATGTAAAACATCTGAAATACATTTTCCATTTTAAATACAATTTGTTAGTTTTTAATATTCATGTTTCTGTTTTATGAATTTCCAGAAAATAAAATACAATTAATAGAAGAAAAAAAGGATTTCTTCCCCCAAATATTTTGAATATATACCATGTTAATGAAGCCTGCAGTTTTTATTCATTCTTTCCATAGACAATTATTTGTATCACAAATCAGAAAGAGGGTATTAAAAATTAATATATTACAATGAGAATAATGAATAATACAGATTAGAAATGTGTATTTGAATATTGCTATGCAACTTCTCAGAGTAATACCTTCTAAATTCTTAAACAAAGTACAATATGGCAATAAGTTGTTAAATTATATCATAGGAAGGAAGGCAAACTGAGATACTGAAATGAAAACCTATCTCTCTATGCCATAGATACAAGTAACTTTCATTTCCATTATTCTTGAACTCCATTTCTTTTCCTGTCAAAAGAATTGTATTGTGAATGAAATGAAATCGAGTTTATGCCCTGGCAGTGTGAAAGCACACATGGACATCCTGTATATGGCAGTTCTATTGAATTTATCCATGTTGGGTTTCATAGTCTAAGTTGATGAGGACAACTGACCAGAACTATTTCTCAAGAGGGCACCCGATCTCATTACAGATGGTTGTGAGCCACCATGTATTATCTTTGGAAGAGCAGGCAGTGCTCTTAACTGCTGAACCATCTCAGTGTCCAATATCAGACTTTTAATATTTGTATACCGTTATGCCCAGATCCACAAAGTCCCCCAGAAACCAAAAAGACCGAGTCCCATATGTAAATGCAAAGAACCTTTATTTTATACAAATTTGCAAACTCAGTCTCTCGGTGTATCCAACATATTGTAACAATCAGAGAGCTTAGTTAGAGTTGGGTTTTTATAGCAGCAAAAGTGGGGGTGAGTGATTTCTAAGGTTCAGGACCCCTGATTGGCTGACATTTGTCTAGGGTGTCCTGGTGAATGTTTGCTTGTTTAATTTAAGTGCTGTAGCTACAAACATTACCTTATTTGTGTCTATTTTCCTTTACTGTTGCATATATAACTTCCTTTAACTATTGATCCAAAGTTAGGTTGACTTCAAGGAATGGGAAGTTTACTTACAATGACTTAAACATGCAAGGATCATTTTCTCACAAGAATTCACACTCACAAACACACAATGCATTTACCAATATGTGCAATTTGTTAAAAATCCCTCTGCTCATCTGTTGGAAAATTCATTTTAAATCTCTTAAGTCTACTGCCTTTATTAAAACGTTAGAATCTCTACCAGTTTATAGTGAAATAATTTTACTCAGTAACCATTTTCCTCTTTGGCTTGACCTTTCACAGATCTGCCGGTGAAATTTAGTTTTTAGAGGGTTCTGCAATGAGATATAAGAGCCCAGGAGCAGTTCTCCTTCAGTCAATCTGCCATCTTCCTTGAGCTATTGCACATGCCCTTCACATCCACGGCCCCTTCCTCTATGATTAGCTTCATCTCTCACCATCTTCTTGACAAAACAAAGCTGCTGGTTATTTACAATCCATTCAGCTTGGAGCGTGGGGTAGGAGAGGCCGCATTCACATTTGCCTAATGATCAAAAATAGAGCTATGGTTTGTTCCTCCATAGGCCAGGTATGGTACAATACCCCCATTAACATCAGAGGGACAGAAGAGGTCTCCTCTCAAAATATCAATTTTCAGCCTCAAGTGATGTTATTAGTGGTTTCCTCTCTGTTGGCAGGGGGTTAATACAGGCTCTGGATGAAAGCATCAAACAGCATAGGAAATGCCCAACTCACTTCCTATGCTAATTTACTATTAACATTTGAAACACTTGTAGAGATGTACTAATCCTATTGTCTACTTACTGCTGAAACAAAACACAGCATCATTATGCTTAAAATACATTGCTCTCACCATTTAAAAGGAAAATGTTGAGGCTAGGGAGATGGTTCAGTGCTTAGAGATTCCCCAGATCCACATAAAGGCCGATGTACTTGGAGACTTTAATTCTAACAATGACAGACAGATTAACCATAGCCTTGACCCTCGAGTTTGATTAAGAAACTGTACTGAAAGGAAGCTAGTTTTGCAGTGCTGTTGATGACTGCTTATTCACAATTGAGAAAGTGACACATAGAAGATTTCTGTGACAAACCCTACTCCCCTATTCCAGCTCCCCAAAAGTAACAACCCAATTCGTCAATAAAAAAAGAAAGAAATTGTGCCTACCATCAATAAGTTGGAAGAACTGTAAAGAGTAATTTCCAACATGAACCTTGGTCCTTCACATGTTCCTATCATGCACATTCTTCCACACATATGTTTGTGCACATAAATACACCATACATACATACACACACTCCAAAGGAAAAAAAAAATAAATCATTCTAACTTGTACATTTGTTTTGTTGTTTAGGCAGGATATTTTATTGCTAATTAATTCTACCTACATATACTCTTTGGAAGCAAAACATCTAGTCTGAGTTGCTTGTAAATTCTGCATTTTAAATTTTCCATGATTATAGACTGGAGCAATGGCTCAATGGTCAAGAGGACTCTGTTCTTCCAGAGGACCTGAGTTTGATTCCTGTCACCTACACAATGGCTCACAACCATTTGTGCATATCTCTAGTCTCAAGAGAATTGACACTTAATACTGGCCTTTTTTTGGAGGACATGTGATGTGTAGAGACATACATTCAGTCAGAAACCTCATATACATAAAATATAACAATAAGATATAAACAAACACATAAGTAAATAAACCTTGCAAGATAAAATTCTACCTGGCTTTTTATAGCTTTAAATTTGGGAGTTGCAGAATACAAATACTGGGCTTTATAGCTCCTTGCCCTTTTCTACTGTCCACTTCTCTGTGGAGAGGTATCATTCTCAGCCTTCTAAATGCCAGCAATCATTGTCTTTCTTAAGGAAAAAAAAAAAACACAACAACTTTCCTTTACAGTTTCACAATTTTTTCATGAATATTGATCTCAATGTAGTCAATAAAAACGTCCATTTGCATCCTGTGATTTTAGTGTGTTATTTTAAGTGAATGAGTTCAAAAATTTTCCCTGCCTAATGTGTTTCTATCATTTCTATCTATGTGATATGGCTAGCCATAGCCATATGGCCATATTCACTTTGTTACTCCTTCCCCCTCCTTGAAACTCTACTGTCTTTCAAGTTATTTTCTACTTCAATAAGTATCAAACTGGGATTTGATATATGATTCAGAGACCTATGTTCATAAAACTTAAGATGTACATTTTCCTGTAGTCAGCCATTACCTGAACAGACAGACACTAGACAGGTATGTAATTGTTTGGAGGGAGAAAACTATATTTTGTCTGCTATATCTTTTTGATGGTGAGACCCTCGAAATTAGGAATGCATTTTCCTCTTAGATAGAGAAGTGCTAGAGTATAATTCAAAATATGGACTTAAAAGACTGAAGCACTAAAGGATAATACTGGAAAAAATTATGTAGAGTAGTAAATAATTAGCAAAACAGAAACATTATATTCTAACAGTGTTAGACAACTTTCAATACCTGGATTAAATTATTGACAAATGTATTGGATCTTTATAAAGTAGTGTAGCAAGTGAGAAATGGTAAAGAATATTTCTGGAAGTGGCATTTTCCTGGAATGTTGTTGATGGCTCTATCATGAATATTCGTTATTATTATTATTTATCATCAGCTATATCTTTTACTTTTCCACTCTCAACAACAATAATAGAGGAATCATCTTAAACTCCCTGTTTATAATTTAGAGGATATTTTTGTCTTTTCTTTTTTTTAAAAAAAAGGTAAGTTTCACCTATTTTGGTTTAGGAGTTCACTGAATATCAACTTCATATCTTTTACAGGAAGTTACACAGTCTTGTACAGAAACCATATTGATTCTTATGCTCAAAAAAGTATTTCAGGTTAATTATGTTAGGTTTATAAGTCATTATCTGATATAGGTGAGAGACAGAACTAAATATGTGTGTATTATGTATAAACTACACATCTTTTTTTTTAATGATTTTTTTACATATACTACGTTGTGTCTTTTTCCTTTTTTTCTCCCGAAGAACGACCCACATTTCTCAGGAGGCCAATTAACCAGGTGGTGCTAGAAGAAGAGGCAGTGGAATTCCGTTGTCAGGTCCAGGGAGATCCACAGCCAACTGTGAGGTGGAAGAAGGATGATGCAGATTTGCCAAGGGGAAGGTATGTTTGGCTCCCCACCATTCGTGGTTCCACCAGGAAAAACCCTTACATCCTGATTAGCTTTCAGACTTGTGATTGTTATTTTTGGTGATATACCTACTGTATGCATATCACAGTCTTTTAGACTTACAATGTCACTCATTTAATGGAAATCCACATTTCAGCCTGATCATTCACTCTACCCTTCATGCCCAAATACCACACATTCCTGAGGTATTATCTTTCGCAGGGCTATTTGTACCTTTGTTAATGGCTCCCTGACTGTCCCTCATTGTGTGCCCTGTTTCTATGATCTTTAATGTGCAATGCCTTCCCCGAATGCCCAGAGTATCTATAACAAAAGGCTGCTGGTACAGCTGGCTTTAGGGACTTATTTAAAACACAGAGCAACAAACTGAGGCTGCTCAAGAAGATGACCTCCCAGGAGGCTGTGCTCAGGGAGTTTCTGGCCCTCAGTTGGAGAAAGGTCCTCCAGTACTTTTGTTCTTCGTTTCCCAATCCCACTGTCTCCACTGCACCATCTCCAAAGCATCCAAAATTGCTTATTATCTTTTAGAAAAATAATTTGATTGTATTCTCTATTTTTTTTCTGTCTGTTAACGACCTTTCCAAGCAGGTGTGGTAGACCAAGTCTTCATCCCAGTGATAGATAGAGACAAAATAAAAAACAAACGAATGCCTTTTTATCTGTTATCAAATAAGCCTGTCTACTTTGCTCTTTCTGTAAAGAACTATTTCTTTTTCTGTTTCCCTTGTCTTCCCCTTATGTCTACCCACTGACATCATAGCTGACACACCTATGCAATCATTATCTGCATAAGATTGCAAAGTCTGTAGCTTTTCAAGGGTTTAGCAGGCATTCTAGAGGTACTTGATTTCGTTCAACAGCTTAAAGTTAACATGCCTTTACAGAAGCTGAATGCTTTTTATACACATTTTCTGCCACTGAAGAAACTCTGCTAAATTTGCACATTAACATCAACATCTCAATTTTGAACCCTGTAAGGCTATGAAAATGTACCTTCCTTCTAAATTCATATCCTCAGCAACACTGGGTTTAAATAGACCAGGCATTTAAATAGTATTGAGAGCTTCTTTGCAATCTATAGTTATGCATCTGTTGCAAATCTCAATTTAGTTATTTAACAAACTGGCTAAATAAGCACAAATGAAATACCTCAATAACACAGGAAGTCAACTCTTTGTTTTTGTCACTTTGCTATCAGATATCTGCCTATAAATAAAATGTCACTATTTATCAGTCTGGTAACTATTAGAGTCCTCATGCTCCTTCATCAGAGAATCAAGGACAAATTCCAGAGGGCTGGAGAAAGAACTTGCCTTAAAAGCACAAGGAAATGACTTCTCTTTAGGAATGCAAGAGAAAAGTCTGGGTATGGTAACATATGCAAACTTGTACTCTAGTCATGGATACAGAGATGTGCACACAGGTGCAATTCTTGGGCAACCAAAAAGCCTACACTGAGGTGTAAGATTTAAGTCACTGAAATGTCTGCCAAACAAACAAACAAAAGTAAGAAACTTAGACTAAGTTAGCCAGCACCTGAGAATTATAGCCAAGATTTCCTATGAACCAGACGCCCGACACACATACTCACATACAAAGGTGGGGTTACATAATTAGATTGCTGCTATCCACATCAATATGAATAGTTAAAGTAGTCATCCAATTAGAGATCAAACTACAAATATTTTTAAATGCTAACAGAAGTTAAAGAAAATATTATTAGGGCTGGAGAAATGGCTCAGAGGTTAAGAGCACTGACTGCTCTTCCAGAGGTCCTGAGTTCAATTCCCAGCAACTACATGGTGGCTCACAGCCATCTATAATGAGATGTGGTGCCCTCTTCTGGCATGCAAGCATACATGGAAGGGATTTTGTATACATAATAAATAAAAAAAATCTTTTTTTAAAAAAAAAAGAAATTAATAATAACAATGATTCATTTTAAATAACTGGCGCTGTAAACTGGGTATGGCAGTGCACACCTTGACGGCAGAAGCGAACAGGTCTCTGATTTTGAGGCCAGCCTGGTCTACATAGTGACTCATAGGACAGCCCGAAGTATGTAGAAGGACGGTGTCTCAAAACAAACAAACAGCCGGGCGGTGGTGATGCACGCCTTTAATCCCAGCACTCGGGAGGCAGAGGTAGGTGGATCTCTGGGAGTTCGAGGCCAGCCTGGTCTAAAAGAGCTAGTTCCAGGACAGGCTCCAAAGCTACAGAGAAACCCTGTCTCGGAAAAACCAAAACAAACAAACAAACAAACACAACAACAACAACAAAAAATTGTTGAGGCTCTAAAAATTCTGTAATTGTTATGTCCAGATCCATGAGGTCCCCACAAAACCAACAAGGAGACCAAGTCCCATATGTAAAAGCAAAGAGCCTTTATTTTATGCAAGTTTGCAAACTTGGTCTCTCCGCATGTTCAATGTATTAGAATAAAGAGGAAGCCCCGAGCTCAGTTAGAGTTGCTTTTTTATAGTAGTAAAAGTGGAGGTGAGGGGTTTCTAATGTTTAGGACCCCTGATTGGATGACATTTGTCTAGGGGTGTCCTGGTGAGTGTGCTGGCAGGTGGTCCTATCTACACCAGTTGGAACATTAGGCATTTACTTTGGATGGTCTGATTTATTTATTTATTTAAAAATTTCCCTCCCCCTCCCCTCACTCCTTTCCCCTTCCCTCTTGGATAGTCTGTTTTTGGGTGGTGCTGGGCTAATCTCAATTTGTGGTTGTTCCCGCAACCAGGTATTGCTTCAGGGTAAACTACTGAGACTCAGGCCTCCTTTAAACTTATCAATGGCTGAGTCCTACTCTGGCAGGTGATAAGGGTTGGAAGCAAAGAACTTCCTTTGTCTGTTTCTACTTAGCTTATCATGGCTGGCTCCTACAGTAATTTTTAAAATTGTGTTTTAATTTAGGGATATTTTAATTTTTTAAAAGTAACAAAATTTATACAGTGTTGTCTGTACATCTTGAACCTACTTTTTCACATTTTTAACATCTATGAAATAATTTTCATACCTAATAAAAAATGTTGAAATAATTAAATACAGGCTAAACAGTTTTTAGATTTGATCCATTTTTATTATTGTATTTTTCTGCTCAAGAGACCAACCGAGGATATGTATTTAGTTGAGAATCATAGACTTTGGGGTTTAACTGAATGTTTCCCAATCATCTTTGGTCTTTGACAAGTTCATAGTGCTCTTTAGAATTGCCAGCTTGTATTCTTGTAGAGAAATACTAGTCGGATATGCCACAGAATATTCAAAGCTGTATTGACATGTTTTCACGTGGGTATTGGTAGACTGGTTGTGCTTTTGTTTGTCTGTTTGTTTTTTGTTTGATTGTTTTGTTTGTTTGATTAAGGAAGAAAGCCACATCATCTCATTACGTTGTAGCAGAGGCTCATGAGTCAAGGACACAGACTGTTAGCCTATCCCATAACTTGATGACACAGTTTTGATGTGCACCCTAGACTCCCTCTGAGTCTCCCAAGTGCTGCGTGACAGACTACGGCAGACACCTTGGTTTTGTTGAATTTTATTTTAATGTCATATTTACTCTGTATGTTAACTTTGTATTTTTTAATTAGTATATTTTTTGCTTTCATATATGTGTACTATAATTGTTAAGTAAAATCAAGTTGAGATAAAAATACATGCTAGAATGTTCTGAGACTATATTGAATTTTAATGTGTCTTTATTTGAATTAAGAAGCTAATATATAATTTAAGAATAGTTTTATTGTCCCAATTTATTATGTGTTAAGTGATAAATATGACAACTTTAGTGTCTCTGCTATTTTCCAAGTCTTGTAAAAGTCATTTGCTATAAAGTTGAGGTAACTTGTAAAAAATCAAGCAGTACTATATAAACTACATTTTCAAAAGGTACAGTTAAAATTTGAGAAAACTTTTATCGCTTTTTTCAAAATGTTTTCATATTTCTGGCCTCTGGTTTCTTGCTCCTGGGACTATACTATTACAGTACTTGTTTGACTAGTTAAATATGTTTAATCCATCAGACAAATGAAAGTGTTAGCTTTAAATCATTATGTAAGAGAATCTCAACATGCAAAGTGATGAATAATTGTCTTATCCTGATGGAAGCCAGGCACTTTTTCTACACTTCTCAGACTCAAATGTGATTTCAGAGAAGCTTATTCAGCCTTGATTTGTGTCTATCAGCATATGTCTTACTTGAACATGAAAGGCAAGGAGACCTCTCTACTTGGGGAAGGATAACAGTAATGCTTTTCAGGAAGTTATAGACCAAATCATCAGCACTGATTCCATTACATATTGAGGTCTCAGACGAGGGAGGTGACCATTGTTCTTTTATATGGAATTGGTGTGGTGGATGATAGTCATTTCACTTGATGTTTAATGAAATCTGAATATAGGTTGTGTTGTGGTTGTAGGACAGTTGTGTAGCATGTAATTACTATGTAAGCAATATGTGACTATTTTTCTTTCGGTGCCAAGAAAACCTTTTTAATTCATGTTTAAATTGATGAAATGCTATAGTAGCTACTTGAACCTTCAATACGGAAGAAACTATCTGTGCCAACCTTGCAGTGGGAAAGATGAATTTAGGGAGTATTTTTGCTTTAGCTTCATTCATCCTAGTAAGAGTATTTTAAAATTATAACAACATCCATTTATTTTGTTTAGATTTAGCGTCCAAAGTTTTCTCTATAAATAACTTTAGTGATATTAACAATACCTTTTGTGGAATTGAAATATTATTATTATTATTATTATTATTATTATTATTATTATCATTATCATTATTATTACAACTAAATTGTCTTATTGAGATAGGAAACATGGAAAGTCTAACAACAATCCTATGCCCAAACAGAGAAATGCTATTTAATGTGATGATTTCCAGGGAGTCAAACTGAAAAGATATCCTACATTGTGTCTGATTAGTAGAGTGTAGTGATATTTTGGAGAAACATCGAAA